AAAATGTGGCACTGTAGCTTGCATATAAAGGGGCATTAATAATATTAAATTTTGATTCTTAATTAAAGGTCGACAGGGTGAAGACATAAAAGTGGTCATGTGTCATATCTCTTAATGAATATTTTACTTGTTATTAGCGTTCAAAATTTAATAAAATAAAATAAAACTCGTCTTTACCCTCAAAGTAAGCTTTTTTGCCATTTTATGATAGTACAACCCGTTAAGATGTTCTCGCTTAAGATGTTACAATGTATATGGGGACATGATTTAGTTCAACCACTTTGACTTAAATAACTAACTCCTGTGTTAAACCATCTGACTCCGATTCTGACCACTCTGACCACAGAAATTATTAGGCTTCAAACAGGATGAACGAAATCATGCCCCCACACACAGTCTAACAGCCACACATATAGAAAACACCTCGAATCATTTGCATATCTTGAAATTTTAAGGTGTCTCGAGTCCAAAAATGTAAAAATTTGGGAGGGGTAATTTTTTGACCGAGCGCTACACTTTTCCTCTGTTATATATAACAGCCGGAAAAGTAACAATTATCGAATACATATTTATATATTACTTATAGGAGTCTTTTAGCTTTGGAATAAAAAGTTTCTACGCTCTATCTTTATTACAACTCTATTTATTGAATATTTTATTCTGAGGTCACGTGATGACATCAGAATTTCCGGGTCTGTTTCGGTAACAAGTCTGCCCCTAATCGGAATCGGAGTCGGATGGTGAGGAAAAGTCGGAGTCGGAGTTGGAGTCGGTAGATTTTTACGCGACTCCACAGCCCTGGATTAATTTTATGGAAGAAAACCTTTCAAACAGCCATAGTCCGTAAACTGCACACGTGCCGGGCTGTGATTGGCTCATGTATTTAAGGATTCCTACAACGCGAAATTTTGATAAAGTAGAAAGTATCTACTTTATCGTAATGTCTCTTTTGTCGCATCACTAGTATATCTCAAAGGACGCGACAGGGTTGTTGTATGTACATTTTAAACGTTTCTCACCATAGCTGTAAAAATCTAAATTTGTTGAACTTAATAGTCATTTCTTTTATAACTAATTCGTTTTAGGACCAGGTGTCCACGGAACGTTCCAAAATTTACAACTTTTCGGTCACTCTCATTGAAGTGGAAAAATTTCTGTCTTTATTACGTCTAATATTACGAAGAAATCAGTCTCCACTGTACTCGGCTAGAGATTAGTTCTGTTAGGCTTTTGTTTAATAAGTAAAATTCGGGTTCTTTCGTCAGAGTTTTATTTATGTCTCTAATTCCATAATCTCTTAATTATTTAACTACTTCTTAAGTAGAAATAAGTCGAAACCAGTTACTTTGTACTCGAATATTTGTAGTCTTGGAGAAAAAGTGGAAAGACAAATTTTTACGACAACGGATACATAAATCGCATGCTTATTTATTAAGTGCGTTAGATAATCTATTAATTAAAAATACATTTAGAGAAGTCTACGGTTTTTACTGGCTTATCGAACAAACGAATACGAATGGACCTTAGACCATCACTGACTACTGCCCCTAGAAGTCTGCTTCTGACAGAAAAACAGCTTCCCTATCATCAAATGTCACGGCACGCCACTGCCAGATATGCTACTCAGCATTGCTAATCTACATTTTTGCGTTAATGTACAATGGATCTATTTTTATGTTTTAGTTAAGGTCAAAACAAATGCACTTTCCAATCGGTCTGACTGAATAGCACAATCGGTCGGTTTGTAAGAATAATTACTGATGTAGACCTATTTCATTAATTGGCAACTATTTCTGAAAGTCGAACACGCATTTGATGTTAAATTTGAACATATTTTTCTCCTAAATTTAGTTCATAGTCTGAAATCTCGCTTGAATTTTGATTTCCAGTATCCCTGTTGTCCATTGTTTACATTTGCATGCTTTCAATGTCATGAATAAACGAAAGTGCATCAATTATTCAAACATCGTTTTGCATATTTACGGTTATTATACTGTACCTAAATGTCGCAAAAACCTAAAGAAAAAAGTAAAGACATTCCATAAAGATTATTTTGGATGTAAAGTTGCGGATTAAAAATTGAACATTTTTTTTTTGCTTCAATACGTTAGTGTTAACTTACTGCAGTGATTTCTTAAAAAGAAAAGATTATTTTCTGCGTTGCGTATAAATTGGACTGAACTAACTCAGTGGTTTTCAAACTTTCTGTAACTCTCTCCCCACTTTTTCAGTAAATAATTGTTGCGCTCCCTCATTTTTCGTAACAATCTATTTTCATATATACTGTCCTTATAATTTATATAATGGCCTACAAAACAATATACCTTATTTAATAAAGTATATTTTTCGTCGGTACTCGACTCATGTCGAGACGTATTGTCTTGAGTGTGGATAGATGTTTGGCATTCGTACCCGATTCGTTCGGTCGAGGGTTGTGAATTAGGTATAACCGTTTTGTTGATTCATTATTTTCGACATCGATTTGACTTTTTTTTTGTATGTATTAAAAAATGATAATTTGGTAAAAGTTGGTTGGCACGCCCCTCTTGCAATAACCTCAGTTAGTGCAAGAGCAGAGATGTGATTAGTTAGCGCTAGCGCAATGTATTTCAATCGATGGAGCCCGCCCCACTGATTGAAATACATTGCGCTAACTGATCATATCTTTGCTTTATCTGTATGATTAAACTTCATTCCATAGGAAATGATATATATTTTTTTTTCATAATGAGCTTGATGTTTTAACTCAACATATTTCTAAAAACATATTTGATTTATTGTTGTTTTAAAAGTTCACCTTATTAAATTAAAACTTTTCTAAATTACATATCAGTCTATAAATTATCCTGTCAATCGCTGAAGATATATTTTTATTAAAATACTGTACTAATTAATATATATTTGTATTATATTGTATTATTAATNACTTGGCCACCCTTCGGTCCACATTAGGCCGAGTTTTCGAGGTTCTACTGTATTACAATATAGTATATCTTTTAAAGATTCAATTTCTGAAAATTCTTAATTGATAAATTACAAACATTAAGTTTATATAGTACTAGCAGACCCCGCAAAGCGTTGTTGTGGCTCAAAATGTCTCTATTATAAATGTATTTGTACAAATATTATAAGTGTTATACATTTGTACAAATGTATAACACTTTCCCCATGGAAAAGTGTTATACATTTATAATAGAGACATTTTGAGCCACGACAACGCTTGACGGGGTCTGCTAGTACTATATAAACTTAATGTTTGTAATTTATCAATTAAGAATTTTCAGAAATTGAATCTTTAAAAGATATACTATATTGTAATAGTGATATAATTTAGGAAAAATAAAGCATTTATCTTTTACCTATTTAAATATCATAATAACGTTTACTAATATGCCTGGAACACAATATACTTAGTAACTTATATAAAAAATAACTTTCGATATAAAAATAAATTTGTATTAAAATATTAAAAAATTATCTTTAAATTTTACAATATGATTCAAGTGTTATTTATAGAATTATCATTTATTTATGTGTATGGTAATTTGTTTTATTTTAAATAAATTAGAACCAGCAGTTAAAATGTTACAGGAATATTTAGAAAAAATTCGTAAAAAGAGATATTTAACATATTATATCTTAGAAATTCAAAAACCCCTTTCCCATATATCACAATATATATTTAACATGGAATATATTGATATGTAGAGTCATAGCAGTGACTCCGCGCAAAGTGAAAAAGTGACTGACTGATTAAACTTACAGGAATCAAACTTGCCGGTATTTGGGAGTTGATTTCTCCGTCCTACATAGTAATTCTGCATAACACGTTCAAAAGATACTTGTTTTCTTTGGTAGTGCACACAATTTCAAGTTTTTCTATGAAGAGGTTTCCGAAATTTAAGCAATCGAAAGGTGCAAAAAAAAGCAGTATGTTGTTCTTTTATTCATCCGGCACTGCAGATGCTCCTAGAGAGAAAAAAAACCTACTTGGCGTAAATATTACAAATTTTAAACTTAAGCCTTTCTTTTTATCAGTGAGGTCCTGACGAAACTTCCGAGTCAATAGGTCAAAATACACGGATGTTCCCATAGAGTTATTTTACTTTTGTGGTTTAATTTCATGCTTAAAAGGATAAAATTGGTTCGACACGAATGGTTTTCATTCAAAATGTTATCTAAAATAACAAAAGTTTATATCAGTGATTCTCAACCACTGTGCCGCGAGATTTTTGAAGTCTGCCGCCACTGCGAATACCCATACATAAGTAACGTCAGACAAGTAGTTTAATTATTTCTACCTTCCCAGATCGCATTTGGAAATTGTAACCGGTATTACCGGTAACTGCCGGTAGTTACCAAGGCGTTTAGAAAACGTGATCTAAATAACCAACTGCGTTTAAATATCACTGTTATGACGTCACCGGTTGTCCTGCAGTATTACCGATGTAACCGTGAGTGCCGCTAAATTTTTAAATTATTAAAAGTTTACCGTAACGAGAGAAAGGTTAAGAATCACTGAATTATATTCATGCGAATTAAAACTTTTGATAACGATTTTACTTAATGGATCGACCGAACTGTACAATACGACATCGTCTCCGGTGTTGATGTAATAACACAATCATTATCCAAAACACAATTAATATTCAAACAAACACATCTGAGATGTAAAAAAAATTGCACCAAGTAAAACATTATTACGATTTAGACGACAATAAAATTTTTTCTTGGAGCTTTAAGGAACGGAAAAAGTAACCCATAAGATTTTTACCTCTATTATTGTTTTTTTACATTTCGCTTCCATGCGCCAATCTTAACTTTTTCAAAGAAAAATTTTGATTGTCATCTAAATTGTCATAACTTTGGAGCAATTTCTTTACATCTCAGATATATATATATTGGATTTGTATTTTACTAAAAACTTATCGCTAAATATATTTTTACAATAAATAACAAATACAAATACTAGTAATAAGTTTTTCAAAACATTTATTTTATAATATTAGGAAAAGCAGATCATTATAGTTTTTCAAAAGTTGGATTTATTTTCCTGTACCGTAACATCTATCGGATGTTTTAATAGGTTCATCATCGGGAAGACCTTCACACCAACACGACAGTTTCCATTTCCAACAATATCCACTTTCAGCTCTCTTGCCTTTGCAGAGTTTATCGCAGTATTCGTTTCCCCAACATTCAAATTTGCAATTATTTGCATCCACTGGATATCCGTCTTTCTTGCAATTTACATCTGCAATTATAATACATGCAAACATGAAACATTTTTATATATTTAAGTATAATCAGTGCTTGTACTTAAATTGTATTATTAAATTATATTAATATTCTATATTCATTTTTATTAAAAGAAAAATATTACCCAAAAGTAAGAAAGTTGCAACAAACAGCAATATAAAATAATTCATGTCTTCTGATTAAATTCTTCGGTTGAAGCTTCTTTAGAATTAAATTTTTAAATTTATTTGCCTCTATTTATACATAGTGCGCATATGTTTAATGTACTTCCTATTTTTACATCATGTAATAAATATTGCTTTTATTATCCAATAAATTCGAAGAAAACATTTGTTGATTAAATTGTTAATGCAGTATGTCGTCTGATAAATCGAGGGATAATTAAATAATATTAGTTAAACAGATTTTCTTAAAATTGAAAACTCATCAAAATGTAATATAATATTAATCATTAAACTAGGAGACATCTGGATAATAAAATAAAATCAGAAAATGAGTAAAGTTCCTTTTAATGATATAAATTTGAAAAATATTAAGATTACATTTGTTAAAAATAACATTCCGTTAGGTAGTATGCGTATTTCCATTTCTCCAGAATTTTATTGACAAGACTATGTCTTGTTTATAAAATCGCACTGCCGGTTTGTTACCAGAGTTGATATTTGGCACAGAGTATTCGGTGCCCAAATCATTTGAGCATAAAAAATCCAGACTTGTAGATAGTCGGGGGACCAAGAACCGGGTTAAAATAAATTACAAAATGGCGACCCTCTTCTACAAACAGGCATCTCACCCCACCGAAGTCAGGTGGGAGAGAGTGCCACCCACAGTCATTCTAAGAAGTAAACTCTGATCTTAGGACCGAACACGTAGTTTCTTCTATGTTAAATAAAATAATTTGTAATCTAATTTTGTAAATTTGGGATTGCTTCAGATATGACATAAAAACGGTTTTATATCATTACAAGTGGGTTTTTTAACATTATCTAGTATAGTAAAATCGTAGGACCGATAAAAATTTGACGTTGTATTAGGATTGTCGTTACATTCGATGACATTATAATCGGGTGAAACTGTATATTGTTTGTGCAAAATAAAAAAAAATTATTTCGGACGATACGGGAACTTTTCGTTACGCATCGACAAAAATTGAACCCGGGCCGACACGCAACGGAGAGAAATTTTGAAATTAGATAGGTTAATTTCATCGAAGATGCATCGTGGACGATCTCGTGGTTGTGGCCGGCGAAGTTTGAACGATCGCGCCCAAAAGCAGCGATATCATAGAACAGCGGTCCCCAACCTTTTTATCGCCGCGGACCGGTCAACGTTTGATAACTTTACCGCGGCCCACTGAGGAGGGACGTTGATTGTTCATATTTTACATTGATTTAATTTAATAATTTTAATTTAACTGTATTTAAACGTGCCTTCAAAATAAAATACAATTACACCAAAAAATGAATATAATGTGATTTAACATTTTAACTCACTAGAACGCTAAATCAATGAGAACCCTGAGCTTGTTTCTTTGCAACGAGACAGTTCCATCTGGGGGTAATAGAAGACAATGACACTCGAAGTGTGTTTCTTATGTCCAGTTTATTCCGTTGTTCCGTCGTCCATTAAAAGTCGCACAAACCC